TTAAATAATACTTAAGAAACACCCTATATAAATTACAAAACATACCATCCTTATCGTATGATCCAAAGCAGAAACTCAGATCTAATTCTATACTAAACAAATAATAAAGTAAAAAATAAGAGAGTGTGTGACGCAATATCCTTGCTACTTTGAATGTAGGCCCATGTGTAATGCGCTGATCAGCAAAGTTGTATATTATAATATTATCAATCATCATATTATTGTCATCATATTGATATATGATGATATTATCATATCATCACATATCATCCGCCATTGTCAAGAGATTGTCAATAGATTCAGACACCTTGGAGTTCGTCCAAGAAACTTGTCCAATCATATCACATGTACTCACTTGTCAATTTCTTACAATTAATATCTCAAAAATTATCATGGTTGTTTGCGAAATGGTATAGAATTTTTTCATCCAACTCGATAAGTATTATCTGCACACAATGAGGCATACGTGAGTTGTATTATATAGATACTTTATACATACCATCCAATATTCAACCGAGAAACTCAGATATAACTTTAAATTCAGATCTGATATCGCGTATGAATTATGTTTCAATTACAACTGATACCTATAGTGATCTAAACATCTTATGTGAAATAAGTTTTAAATAACCACTATTGATACGGGCTTGAGATCAAATTTGAATATTTTATGTGAGTCGCGAGTTTTAAAAGTAACTACACTATTAAATGTGCCTAAATTCAGAGATGACTGGCCTTGCGCTTACATCGATCGTTTAATACGCGTACTAACTAATAACCATCTATCAATATCGACGATATATGTAAACAACGGCGTATTAATTTGATATAGCATAGTGGGCTTCCGATTACACTCTGTGACCGATTTTTCTTATTACCATCCTTACTCCTATCAGTCGTTTCTCAGCAATAATCTGCTCACGAAGATGTTTAAACTCAGGAACGAATTAACTGAAAATCGTACGGAGCTTTCACGAATATTGCTCACTGTGTACTCGCAGAGTTAATATTATTATTATTGTTGTTGTTATATTGTTATTATTATTATTAATATGTTATAAATTTAAAAAGTAACACTATAGTGAAACATGTTAAATATACAGGGTTCTCAAAAAGTCTTCGAACGATAAATTATCTCGAAAACAATCAGTTTTTGGAAAAAATGTTTCAGGCAAAAGTTGTAAGGTTTAAAATGATCTATTTACTGATCTTATCAGTTTGACCTTAGCTAGCGTCAACAAGGTCAGGGCAAAGTCACCTTGAACTTTTCAAATAGAACGCTCTACTTTTTTATTCTTATTATATTCTTATAACGTATATTCTTATAACGTATTTCAAGAGCTTTCCAAAACACTACAACAAAGTATTTTTTTGTTAAGTACATCCCGAGTTATGAAGCTTCAAAGCTACAGTACCGTCGACATTAGCCAAGGTGTACCGCGTGGAGGTTGCACGATCGGATTTACACCTCTTGTGTGTGTGCATGTGTGTGTGTGTGTGTCTGCGTGTTCTGTAACAGAAACAAGGACCCCACGGTTCGTCACTCCCGTAGTATTTCATGATTCCAAACATCATTGTTAAATGGTAGAAGAAAGACAATTTGAACATTTAATTAATTGAAAAATGTCTTAAAAGATGAGATAGAGTCACTTTACACAACAGAATGGGTTTGAAGTCATCACACACACGCGCATACACACACGCACACATACACACGCGCGCGCGCACACACACACACACGCGCGCGCGCGCGCACACGCACGCACGCACACGCACACTCACTCACGCGCGCGCGCGCACACACACACACACACATGCACACACACAAGAGGTGTAAATCCGATCGTGCAACCTCCACGCGGTACACCTTGGGTAATGCTAATACCGACGGTACTGTAACTTTGAAGCTTCATAACTCGGGATGTACTTAACAAAAAAATACTTTGTTGTAGTGTTTTGGAAAGCTCTTGAAATACGTTATAAGAATATACGTTATAAGAATATAATAAGAATAAAAAAGTAGAGCGTTCTATTTGAAAAGTTCAAGGTGACTTTGCCCTGACCTTGTTGACGCTAGCTAAGGTCAAACTGATAAGATCAGTAAATAGATCATTTTAAACCTTACAACTTTTGCCTGAAACATTTTTTCCAAAAACTGATTGTTTTCGAGATAATTTATCGTTCGAAGACTTTTTGAGAACCCTGTATGTTAAGCGTATGTGTCACGTTTAAAATCTGTCCTGAAGTTTATTGTATAATAAGTTTATTATATAATAAGATACAATAGACTTATACAGTATGTTCGCGAGACCTTTCGGAAATGAAAAATTGTGAAGATTAATCAGATCAAACTGAGAAAAAGAATCACGTACCGTTTTGCAAATAAGTGTGCAATTTTTCAAGTTATCAAAAGAGCTTCTATTTATGGTCATTTATGGTCATCATTAATAACTTAATAACTATTATGATTTTTGCAAAATGATACTTGACTTTTCTTCTTAGTTTAATTTGGCTAATCTTCACAATTTTTCGTTTCCAAAAAATCCCGAACACTCTATATATATTTTGAAATATATATACATACAAAATTAATATATGTCTTCTATTTTGGTATTATTTTTAATTTTATGGCATACTATATAATAATAACAACAACATGACGATGATATAATAATAAGAATAACATATTTCAATATATAGAAATATATTATATATAATACATATATACGTGTATATATTTTTAATATATAAATATTTATATATTGATATAATATTAATATTTAATTATATATATTATTGTATATTATTGTGTAAATATAATAATAATAACTCTATAAACAGTGAACACATAACTCGTAGTGAAATATACATCAAAGCCCTATATGATTTCAGCTAATTCGTCCTTGAAATGGAACATCTTACGTTTCCGTAACGACCTAGATGTTATGAAATGGGAAAAGTAGGAATGGTAGTACGAAAAATCGGCCGAAGAGTGCAATCCGACCGCAAACCCTGCAATACAACATGAAGACATATCGTCTTCTTCATGTTGTATTGTATACAATTGAATATTTTATTCTATTGTTTATACCGTTATTTACATCGCTGATATTCAGATAATTTAACATAAATTTACTAGTTACATGTATTAAACGAACGATGTAAACTAAACTGTCACCTCATCTGAACCAAGTTTTAAGTAACTATTATTAATACAGGTTTCGGAATTGAGGTTTACGCACTAAAGATTGGAACAGGACGCGGCCAGTTATGGTTGAAAAAGAAATTTGATTTAATCTATTCTCTAGTTCGTAATACTCTACTTCTGCATCAAATCTGAAACGAACTTGAAGCCATTTAATCGCTGCAATTATCTCGAATGATGACGTCAGGAAAGCGGAAATAAAAAAGATATATCTATAAAATGACGCCATCGAGAAAGCACATTCCTAGAATGTTCCAGAAACTTCTCTTTTGTCAAAGTTTTTATTAACAAGCTCTTTTGTCGACAAATGGCCGAGAAATCAATGTGGCGGAATCGTGAGAAAAAGTTAAAAAAAAAAAAGATTCCATGTTATGTTAATTTTACGGTTATTATCGATTATTATAATGTAAAAAAAGAAGTTCCCGGAACATTTTAAAAACGCACGTCGATTGCAAGTGTCATTTTGTAGGCTGCGTTCCGATATTCACTGTCAGCATTGAAAATCTATAGTATACGTGACACAAACTATGTATTTTCAGTATTGACAGTAGATTTTTAAACACAGCCTTAAATGTCTTTTTTTATAGATCATTTTATGGATATCTTTTTATCGCGACATGATTTATAGGAATGTTTATCATGAATTTCCTCGCTCTGACGTCATCCACATCAAAAGTCCCGCGGCGAAGGATCACGAGCTTCAACGCGCGGCGCGTTGGCCGAAGTCACGCCGACCGATTGATGTTCGCCGACACGAGTCGAGTTTTCCAGCTGTCATGAAATTTGTCCTCGTAACGTGATACTTCAATACCGAACCGATATTTCAGTACCGCCGATTTGTATCCCCGAAGACACCCGAAGACGACGTTCGTAGAGATCAAATTCTCCCGACTTACGCATACTTGTTTATAGAATTATGTTATCTTTTCGTTCCGAGAAAAGATCCATTTAACAAAGCGGAAGCAGCGGAGCTCATTTTACATGCGGAGATTACACAAAATGTTTCAAGTGTGACAGCCTTCTACAATAAACCGTTAGTCTTGAGCCACAAGCAAATTAACCAATCGTGATCGATTATTCCCAAAAATAGTCGATCGTGATTGGTCAATTTGTCTGTGGCTCAAAATTAACGACTTGTAGAAGGACCACGATGAATCGATCATACGCGAATTTCACATCGAACTGACCCTAACTGGCCCGTAAGGATAATTATCCTTGCAAGACGTGGCTTTATTATAAAGAAAAGAAAAAAAAGAGAAAAGATAAAGAGCATCACGCGAGAACACGCTACATCACGATTCAGCGACAGTTGAGACAGCGGATGACACTGCAGCAGCAAGTTATGAACGACCAACCTTGAACTTGGAATGAATACATCCCGTGCAACTACGTAATCAATCTATATAATTACATCTAAAGCGCGTTTTGTCTCTCGCGCGATCGCTGCATCGGCCTGCTGCATTTGCAATGCTTCGTTTGTCAAAATCGGATGTCCGACGCATGCGTACTGGATCGTCGTGTAAAGTTATCACACTATCACAGATCGATTCTCAGTGACAGTTGCAGTCGTGAGTCGAAAAAGATGGGAGCGGTCTCTCGTTCCGAGACCGATTTGTCACTACTTCATGCAACGTTCGACTTCGATAGACGATATACTGTAGACGAGACCTTAGTCTATGATGACGAAGTGCGTCGTAGTCCTACTCGCTCGGGAAACGGAAGATTGTTTCTTTTGCGTAGGAGACCGTGTGGAAAGCAGAAATAAATCAAATCAATCAAATATAAATGTACTAACCAGACTTCGTCGCGGCTGTTTTGCAGTTCTTCGCGGGATTCATGATGGGCTTCGTGTCGTCCTTCTTCATGACGTGTCAACGCTCAGAATGCTCTGCGAGCAGCACGAGGAGTCCTATACCACCTATACCAGATGTTGACAGCCGCCTCTCGACTGAGGGGCAGTCCCGATGAGGAGCAACAGGAATCCCTTGAAACTACGCTACGGGTAAGTGAGGGGGTGGGAGTAGGGGGATTTTGTGAGTGAATCATAAGTCATGAGAAATTGATCGCGTTCAGCGAAACGAGGCAATGAGTGAGCTGTCAGCGATTATTGGTCTTTGCTGCTAGATTCTTAAATTTGGACCAATTATTTCGACGAAATACTCAACTGTTATGTTCATCGAACGCACCCATTCCTTCGAATGAAATGTAATCCGTCGGTGATAAAACTGCACTCGGGAACAGAAACAGATATCTTTCTCTACTCGGCACGCTCTCGAAAACGTTGCTGCGTCGATGGCGATTGGCTGACTAAAATTTGAAATGAAACGAAACGCGAATAGCTTCACGAGGTGGAAAAATGCGGATGGAAGAGGGATTTTGACTTTGGACTTTTGCGATTGTTGTTCTATAGCAGTAATGATGTTACTGTAAAAATTGATATGTGATAGGAGTTCTTGGGAACTCTCAGGGAGAGATAGGAAAAATTGATAATACTATCCAGTGAGAAGTGATTCGTCGATCGACGTCGATTTCAAGATTCGATATATAGAGAAGCAGCAATTAATGCGGATCTCGAAGTCTTTCGAATATTAGCCGTCTTCGGAAATTTCTAAATTGCCGGAGTATTCGAACACCTGGACGAAGCAGATTATTTCTTATTTATTCTCTAAGTCATTTTATGTATAAAATTATTAATGCCGACAAAAAATAGATACTTAAAAAAATATATATATTAATTTTTTAAAATGAGATGGCGAAATACTAATTGTCGCTCTACCTTGATATTTTTGTATCTAAATTGATGAAAAGAATATATTGACGTAAAAAAAATATTCCTTTCAAAAATTTTATTGTTTTCGAATGCTCAGATAATATTCGCATATTTATAACGACAATATTAGTAATATAATTACAATGGTTGCGTTCAGCAGAAAAAGTTACTTTACAATTGTAAAATTCGTGAATCTAATTGGCGTATGCTTTTAAATTTGGCTGAGCCCAAAGCATGCATCAATCAGATTCACGAATTTTATAACAGTTACAAAGAAGCTTTCTCTGCTGAACAATGTTTCCCAACTTGATATTCAGGACTTTAGAAACGTCATTGTGATATCGTTATCTTTCTCTGGTAATAAAAATATCACTATATTGCACGATTCATTCGCTAATCTAGGGAATAAAGTGCAACTGGGAAGCTACCATGCATACCATCGAAAGATTCTTTTCATAGATGCGTTTTTTATTTCGAATACTATAACTGGCGAATAATAATGATCACTTAAATAAAGTCGTGTATTACGATGGATGAAGCAAACATCACTATGTACATATAAATATTACATGATTCGCTATATCGCATTCTATCACGGAATGCATTCTATACGTTGCACAGCGTGTGTCAATCAACTACGCGCGAAACTCGTTTAGCGTAACTAACTGTGAAATATCGTTAAAACTTTCACTTTCAACATTTTCTATATGGAAAAAGGCGCACTCTCTGTTAAAAATTCAACATCTGAATTTGTCGGATAATCTAACATCGGCTTGCAGCAAATAGTGCTATTAATCTTACTTATACAAACATGTGCGTATATTTTAATGCGATGCGCGTTCGTAAATCGGTCCCGAGCGCGCGTATGCGCACTGTCGCAAAAGCATGATAACACGTCTCGAGAAATCTCAAGGGTCGATCAAACGCGCACGGGACCCTGGGAATAATGTATTTACGAAAGCGACATTTAAGAAAGCTATACACGAAATATCGCCAGTAGAAATGAAAACACCTTTTCCATGTAAATTTCTTCTTACAATCTGATCGTTTGTACGCCCAATCGAGAGGGACGTACTTTTACCCTACAAAAAATAATGAAAACAAAAGAATACTCATCGATTTCGCTTTGATCGTAGTTAACATGACGTTCAATTCAGTTTTAACGAGACACGATGTTTTTAGTCGGACAAACATAAACATTTTTTTTCTTAATCTTTCCTCGTCCTGTTTTCTCGTACAAGTTCCGAATCAATGGGAGACAACTCGAGATCACAAATGGAAGACAAAATAAATTATAGTTGCACGTAAAGATCCCCCAGCCAATATATAATATAAAAATCTATTAGAGATTAGAGAGCTTCTCTTCTTATAATTTCAATCATCGGGCTCAATCATCTGCAGACGCAAGTCATCGAAATGCTAAGCAGCTCGTATATAATTCGCTTTTATCATTACGACCAGCAATTACCGCGCTCGAAACCACCTCTACTTGTAACACGCTGAACGCCGTGCATTCACCTGCACCTGTGGATTGCTCGACTCCACTTTAGATTAGCTGGCGTGTGAAAGACGGTTTCGTTCTCCGTTGAATATCTCTGAGATTTTCTACAAACATGCAAAACTTTAGATTCCAACCGCCTTACATTGTTACATCAGCTCGAAAGTCAATTCTCGACGTTCAGCGTGTTAGTCGAAAAAAAAAAGAAGTTGCCGTGTGGAGGTTCTTACTGGCGAAATATCTTGTAGGAAGATCTTTTTTTTGTTCTTTTATGGAATAATCTTAATACTCTAATCTATAGTGGAAAATGTATCGTATTATGCACGAGAAATCTGGAACACGTCACTCGTCGAGAGACCTATGCTGAATCTCCCTCCGCGTTGTCTAATATGCATATGCGTAAATACGTAGGCGAGTCGTAAAAAGCAGATACCGTACGAACGCAACTTCATTGAGATATCAATATGAATATATACAATTTGCTGGAATAGATTTTCGGCTTTCTGACCGTAAATGACGTTCCGTAAATAAAATCATGAGCCCATATTCTCTCACTGCACATTTAACGTTAAACGCCTTTGAGAAAAGGAAGCTCGGAAGATTGAGCCGCGCTACACGAGCGACCGCGGAGAATCAAATTGATAAATTTATCATTTGATTATTTATGATTGATTATGTCGCTTCTGTCATAGATCGTTATGATTTTCCCAAACTGCGTGTTATAAGTACTCAAGAACAGAATCGACGTACAAGTGCATCTCACGCTCTATCTCACTGTCGACCTTCACGCAGAGAAAGTCTCCAAAAGAAAGAAGAGAAAAATATTAAGAATTATCGTATTTAATGCTAAATGTGTGGTGAGTACGTCTCGGATGATCTACTTAATAGATAAAACTATATTGCGCTTTCAGAGATATCTCTTATCATTCAATGAATATCAATCGGTATGCACTCATAAGTAACGACAGCGTACACTGAGAGTAATCGAAATATTAGAATGGAAAATCAACGCTCCGTCAAAACTTGCTACACCGTCTGGTTCATTTTCATATCTGGGCTGTGCTCTGCCGTCATGTCCTCCATCGAGTACCTACATGTATCAACGTCCTCCGCGTTCTCTTCTGTCTTAACGGGGTTGTTAGTCATATGGTCGTTCTCGGTCTTGCATATCTCACCCGTCGTAGCTATGTTATTATCTTCGGTTTTGATTTCTTGCTTCACCGTGAACGCCTGCTTTCTGGCCTTCGTTTCCTTCTTCGTATCCGTCCTCTCGCGCTCGTACATGAACGTTTTCCGTTTCCTCCGCATCGGCTTGCACACCTTTTTGTACAGCACGTTCATCTCCTTTATTCTACTCGTCGGGATCGTCCAGTCCATCTCTTTGGCCGTTGTATCGGAATTTCGGGTGGGATCCATGCTGCTCTCGTATTCCGGGATCTCCATTCCCAGCTTCTTCATCACCGTGATCATGATCTCGTCGACGTTGCCATTGATAATTAAGTCGGCCTTTTTGTCCTGCAATTACATTTCTCGTTTCAGAGCTATAAGGTGGCAAGATATCGCACACTTTTGTGTACACACGTATACAACACAACAACCTCTTACATGTTTTGTTGGCTGCAGGTTACATATAACAAGACGACCTCCATACTTCTTCGTGTATAAAGGTAGATTGCCACTCGGAATGATTTGTAACGTGGTTCCCAAGCATATGCTTAGATCGGCAACACTAAAAAGAAACATCAATATAAAAATAGTATATATCATCGTGATGCACGTCATATACTTGATTTCAATATGGTTTGAGTGTTTTTTTCTTCTCTCAGTTCCGTACGCAGCTGATGGTACAATGAGATCTTGTGTCTAATTAATTCCCAGCAATTCGTTCATTGAATCATCGGCTGTATTTCGAACCGCATCGAGAAAAGTAGCGTTCAAATCGTATTGAAACAAAGTATACACACTGCTTCATGTATGCTTCATTATTACAAAATCATTTGTACAATTTTCAGCTCTACACATGTAGGTATAAGGTCCAAAATTGTACAAGTAATCCTATTTATAATGTTAAGCCACACACATGTCACACTGTACGCATTAGAGGAATATTTTTAAGAACTTTTTTTTACAAAACCTGAGATGTTCCGTAAGCTGTACTAAAATCATGTATACTATTATATTTGTAACTTAAACGCTTTATACGTATAACTTCTAGCACAATCTCTGAAATTTGCTTCTCGTATAATGAAGTCATGTTTTAATTATTTCAAGTGACCATACGCGTAGTAATCGTTATTTACCTAGAATGCAAATCAGATAGTGTCAGATCACTGTCCGGTAAATTGTGCTCCCAATCGAGAATAGTGTCGTGCATTCGCCCACGGCAAGGACGACCACCAATTTGCTCAGACCTGCAGACAGTATCCAAGGACTTTTTCCCAACACTCTTGGTTGCGAAATTGCGAATAAATTGTCTGTAAAATAATTGGCACCATCAACCCCTTGTTTGCAATATCACCAGTCATATACCAATGTCATATATTAATTAAGTTCTAACATATTCGGATGATTTTAAACAAAATATCTCGTTCTCCTCAAAATATTTCATTATACACTGTATATTATATTATATAATTATACGTCATATTAAATTATTATTGTATTATAATGTATATTGTATCGTATTATATGTTATATTATGTGTATTATATAGGGTATCCCATTTTAAATGAAAAGGCAAAAATCTTGAAAAATATGAAAGATACTAAAAAACATTTCAGACAAAAGTTGTATGGTTTTAAAGAGAACATGAAACAACTATATTATTTTGTTTACAAATGGCGCCACTTTCGAGATATTCACTGATTATTTTTTTTAAATGGAAACCCCAATGTTTTACTATATCATCTTTTTTTACCAATTAATTTGAATAACTTTTGTTTAAAATATTTTTTACTTGTCTAATATTCTTTGAAAATGAATTTTAATATTTAATATTTTATTATATTTAAGGAAAAGTTGATAACTCTTACAACATTTAATTCATGATATTTCGCTAACTATTTGTCAAAAGAAAAAATGGTACTGGATTTTTTACTCTATTTTACTCTATTTAGCCTCAAGAATATATTGTTACAATAGTGCCCTGACTTTTGTTACTTCGTCGACCTTTGGAAATTCCGAAATCATCAAATTAATAAAAGTCAGGGCGCTATTGTGACAATATATTCTTGAGACCAAATAGAGTAAAAAAGTCTAGTACCATTTTTTCTTCTGACAAATAGATAACAAGATATCGATAAGTTAAATATTGAAAAAGTTACAGTTTTCCTTGAATACTTCAAAAAATATTCGGCAAATAAAAAATATTTCAAACAAAAATTGTTCAAATTAATTGGTAGAAAAAGATGATATAGTAAAAGATTGTGATTTTCATTTAAAAAAAGTGATCAGTAAATATCTTGAAAGTGGCTCCATCTAAACAAAATGATACAGTTATTTTATATCTCCTTTGAAATCATAGAACTTTTGTCTAAAATGTTTTTTAATTTCTTTCTTTTCGAGATGTCGAGATGCTTGATTCATTTAAAATGAGACACTAGGTCTGTTTTTTATTGCTGAACTAGTGTACACTCAGGGAACATAAAATGAAATAGACATACATCTAGGAATTGAAAGGGAGAGAAGAGAATAAGTGCAAGTTAATGCAGTCAGTTCAGCAATAAAAAACAAATCTACTGTATATTGCTCCTTAAATGTGCTCACACACATACACACGTCCGGATTTATCGTGATTTCTGCGGCATTCCCGTTTACAAATAAATAATTGAAATACGATTTAGAAAAAGAGCAGGAATCTTTAATGGAACTATTCGCAAACTCTCCGTAACTTTAATTAACACTCTTTCACACCCTCAATATGTCAATTAGATTTAATAATCTGTAACTCGCGTACGATTTTTTTTTTCTTGACTTATTGTCTCAGGGACAAAATATTTGTTTTCTCGCCGTAATGATTGAATCCTGCACGTAAAAACATATCGATATTAATCGATATAAGAATCGATTTCTCAGTGGCGCGCGGACGCTACATTATTGTATTATATATAATAGATTTGTACAAAATGTTTCAGAAATTAGGTAGTCAGACTTTTCGAGTTATTATTATATTAATTATAAAGCTAAATAAAAACTATATTAACATAGAAGTTATCTTCCCAAGTTATAAATACTGTCTATATGACGAAGTAGAAACGATATACTTTGTTAAAGAAATGATAAACAATGGTTTTCTCCCACAGCAATATGCACATCTTGCATCTATATATTACGGATTACTGAAAATGTTCAAAAATTTCAGAGGTGCCTACTTTTTCAATAACAAGAGTATTCCTAAAATGTCACCATAAATAAAAATCCAAAAAATTCTAATGGGATGAACTCCGATCCTTTTGTTAATCTGTTGACCAGTGTAACTATTATTACAAAATCCTGGGACATAATACAACTAAAGTGTATCATAAAGTGTTTTTTTTTAACGGAAAAATTTCTTGGTTATGTTTATTTAGTCTATATATATATATATATATATATATATATATATATGTGTGTTTATATATAGCTTTCTCCTATTTTTAAGATGAATACAATATGCTTTTGAAATTTGATTAGTTATTTCCAAAATACTTTGTGTATATATATATATATATACAAAATATTTTGGAAATAAGTAATCAAATTTCAAAAGCATATTGTATTTATCTTAAAAATAGGAGAAAGCTATATATAAACACATATATATATATATAGACTATATAAACATAACCAAGAAATTTTTCCATAAAAAAAACACTTTGTGATACACTTTAGTTGTATTTTATATATATATATATGCTACGAATGTTTTCATCATATATTGTTATGTGTACAAACCTGCCACATTTATCGCATTGTTCCGTGAACATGTTTCCATGTAATTCTGCAAGATACTGCCTCTGTACTCCTGATCGCAGATGTAGTCCGTCTATGTTCTGGCTTATGACAAACTTTGCTTTTTCTGAAAAAGAGGAGAGACACATTTGATAACAAAAGATCAGATATTTATAAGAAAAGTTACTCTGTTTTCTTTATTCACTAAACTTACTACTCTCTATCAATTTTTTCAGTGCCATATGTGTCTTCGTAGGTATTGCTTCATCAAAGGAAATATTCATTGAAGGTTTTAAACCTTTTTGCTCCAATGTCCACACACCATTTGTACCCCTGATACAATAAAAAAGAGAAGAAATATAATTAATTAATATCAATTCTCTCCACTTTAAAATTACATTCCATATTTTGTCAAAACAACTACAATAACATTAATAATTTTGACATACACACATTTATATTTTTCTTATTTAATATATTATAAAAATATCCTATTTTTTAAGAAATTTATAAATAATATTACTTTGCTTGTCATTATTTTTACATTCATTAAACAATTTGCTATAATCTAAGCTATTAATAAAAAGCTATTTAAAACTTAAAGTCTACATATTATAAACATTCATATATACATTATTTTTCATCAAGGTACATTACAATGTAATATTTTTACAAATTCAATACCCTCAGTTCATACTTAATTTTCAAGCTTCAAGATTCTTTTTGTCGAGTCCTTTAAAGTACAAGATCAGATGCTATCCTCAGTGGAGGTGGACAGGAAAAAGGGACAACAGGTGAATATACGGAAACAGGGAGGGAATTCGCAATCGAGAAACGGCAGGCGATAGTCACCGAAAGTCAGGAATACCCGCGGCGGTGCTGATACCGGCGCCGGTATGCACCACGACGTGACGGGCGCCTTGTATCCAATCGGCCAGGAGGCCGCATTTCAGACGGAGCGTCTCCGCCGTGTCGTATCTCTGCAATCATAAAAAGAAAAGGACGTCAAAAAGAATGAATAAAAAAAAAACAAAAAAAATAAACGCGCGTCGCATTCTCGTCGATCGACCCCGCGGGATAAATCGGCATCAGGGGAAACTCACCGTCGAGTTCGCTCGTTTACGCGCCGTAATGCCGCGAAAAGGCGAAATAAAGGAGACGAGAAGAGAAGAAAAAAAAACAAAGGATCCCTGGTTTTATTTTTTCGCTTTTGTTTTACCTCCTCCTGTCCCAGCACTCCTTTGTTTTCGTACGGCGATAACCCGTCCGCGTAGCTGCATGACATTTTTGCGCGCCCGTATCGTCGAGAGGCTCCCGCGAATATCCAACGACGCCTGAGACGCCACGAACGATCCCGAGCAGTCCCGTAGTCTTTTATGACCAACCAGACGACGCCAACGCGATTTTAGCCACGATCCGGCCGCACTCCCATGTGCCAGACGAATACGTAAACAATATGAATCGAGCTAATGACCGCGTGCTGTTATGTTTATACGCTACGAATGACGATAAGTGATAGGAAACTCGAGACCCGCTGAGAACGCATTCTGTTTTATAGACTGCACTGCATGCAACGAAATGGCACTTGAACAGAAAGAAGATAATAAACCGCTCGGGGCATGCGCACTGCATCACGCCGCGCCGCGTCGCACCGCGCCGCGTCGAATCGCGCTATAGTGTAAGCGGCACGCCGGTTGGCTGCGCGAACGTCGCTCGGAACACGTCTAGCTCGTCTCGCGTGCATTCAATTCATGCACGAACAGCAGCGCCAACGTCACGTCCGTCAACCGCGCCGCGCGGGAATATGAGAATTGGCCGTCGATTCTCGGGAAAATATCGCATGCGCGCGGTAATGTATGAAAATTTAAAATATATAAATATAATTGTACATTACAACTGCACATTTTTATAGAATATCTGCAGCTCACATTATTAGATTTTCATACGATATCGCATACTCGTACAATCTTTTTAGAAGATATTTTTGTAGAATATTCCCATACAGCACAGACAATTGCAGCAATATTGCTGCAATATGTTGCAACATTGTACATTGCGGTGCAATATTGCAGAGATATTGCAAAAACAATATTTTGCATTATTATATCTGCAATGTTATAGCAACATTTCAAATTGCGGTTATTATTAAAAAATTATACAAGATATCGCTAAATAGAAGAGCACTTTTTCGTTCCTCTCGCTTAGCTCTACGCCCCTATGGAGTTGGTATGTTACAATTATGGGACACTTTGTATATTGCTCTAATTCTCATAATTATATTTAATCACCACGATTTAGTTTTACAATGATTTAGTTTCATATCCCAAACTTAGACGTCTTATTAATTCAAGAATAGTTACCGCAAGTCTTTAAGATCTATATTATTCCAAATAACAAGGTGACATCTTATTAACGTTCTATTGAATCAATAAAACGGCGTCTTTTTAAGATATCATTTTATTCTTTGAAATATTACAGATCTTGGAAACTTTCTGTGACTATTCTTGTTTGGTGTCAGAAATGAAAACAATGGTATATTAATCTTTTTTTTTCATGTATGTTAAAATAAGAGATTTCCATAAAACGACACTTATGATCGATTTTATAAATTTGTAAAATGTTCTGAACATTTTCCTTTTGCTGTATGATAATCATTCACTGTAAATAATTAGTGAAATTTATACAAATGTTGAGTTGAACATATTATCTCTCACGATTATTGTTACAGAATATTTATGGAAAATTATTGATTGTCACAACAAGAGGAAAGTGTGTCCAGAATATTTTATAAATTTGGTAGATCGATCACAAATATCATCCTCTAGAATGTATCTATATAACAAAAACTTTTTTGGCATACGATCTTTCGCTTCTGCCGTCATTAAATAAAAACTCTCCAGGAGACTCTCAATATATACGGGGTGTCCCATTTTAAAGGACCCACTCAAATATCTCAAAAACACTGCGTTAAATCGAAAAATGTTTCAGACGAAACTTGTTTGGCTTGAAGGGAGACATAAGACAGCAATAGCATTTTGTTTATAGATGACGCCACTTTCGAGATATTCACTGATTATCAATTTTCTTAAATAGAAATCTCAATCTTTTATTATATCATCTTTTTCTACCAACTAATTTGAACAACTTTTGTCTGAAACATTTTTTCATTTGCTTAATATTTTTTGAGATATTTAAGGAAAACTTGGTAACTTTTTCAATATTTAACTTACGATATCTCGCTAACTATTTGTCGAAAGAAAAAATAGTATAAGACTTTTTACTTTATTTACTTTCAAGAATATATTACTATAATAGTACACTAACTTTTGTTAATTTAATAATTCTGAAATTTCCAAAGGTCGATAAGTTAACAAAAGTTAGGGCACTATTATAGTAATATGTTCTTGATAGTAAATAAAGTAAAAAGTAATACTATTTTTTCTTTCGACGAATAGTTAGCGAGATATCGTAAGTTAAATGGTGAAAAAGTTACCAAGTTTTCCTTAAATATCTCAAAAAATATTAAGCAAATAAAAAAATGCTTCAGACAAAAGTTGTTGAAATTAGTTGGTAAAAAAGATGATATAATAAAATATTGGGATTTCTATTTAAGAAAATTAATGATCAGTGAATATCTCGAAAATGGCGCCATCTATAAACAAAATGGTATCGCTGTCTTATATCCCCCTTCAAGCTAAGCAACTTTTGTTTTAAATATTTTTCGATTTAACGCAGTGTTTTTGAGATATTTGAGTGGGTCCTTTAAAATGGGACACCCTGTATATACATACATACATACAGGGTCATCGAAAAGTATCGGACCCCCCTAATATCTTCAGTTAGAATGCATTTTGGAGAAAATGTCCAATAGCAAAGTTGTATAGTTTCAAGCGGGGAGTAAGATGATGACCTTGACTTTGACCTTGATCATGTCCTTCAAGGTCATTTCAAGGTCAGTCTTATTTTTTTAAATAGAACCCCCAACATTTTATTGCATATTCTTATAGCTTATCTCGAGAGCTTTCCAAAACATTATAATAAAACATTTTTTCATTAAGTACTTTTTGAGTTATAAAGGTTTGAAGTTAACAATTTGTTAAGTGGTGTGTGATTCCGGCCAGTTAAGGCAAGAGTAGTGTGTGATTCCGACCAGTTAAGGCAAGAGTGGTGTGTGATTCCGACCAGTTAAGGCAAGAGTGGTGTGTGATTCCGACCAGTTAAGGCAAGAGTAGTGTGTGATTCCGGTCAGTTAAGGCAAGAGTGGTGTGTGATTCTGACCAGTTAAGGCGAATTTCATTCCAATTGGTCAGCTTGGGCAAAATATCCAATTGTACCAAACAATTCACAACAAATGTTCAAATTGTTGCCTTTCAACAGCCTGGCAATGTGCCAATCTGTTATAAACAGCTGAAACCGCATTCCGGAACGTTTCCGGCGGTATTAGTTCTATCTCTCGAGTTATTCTCCCTCTTAAATCATTTAAATCTTGAGGCTTGGTGGCATAAACTTTACTTTTCAAGTAACCCCAGAAAAAAAGTCAAGTGGGGTCAAGTCCGGAGACCGAGGTGGCCACTCAATATGACCCCTTCGCCCTATCCACCTGTCCTGAAAGACCTCATTCAAATATTGACGGACAATGACACCATAATGAGGTGGAGCTCCATCCTGTTGGAAATAAATTTCATCCATATTTCCACCAGCTATGTCTCGAATAGCTGGAACAATTTGTTCGCGAAGCATGACTGTGTATACTTGTGCTGTCAAATTGCCTTCAATGAAAAAAGGGCCAACTGGTCTACCATTAAGAATACCAGCCCATACGTTAACTTTTTGTGGATATTAGGTATATGATTGTCTCTTTTCCAGTGAGGATAAACGTCACTCCAGTATCTACAATTGTGTCTATTTACATTTCCAGTCAGTTCAAATGTAGCCTCATCAGAGAAAACAATATTATTAAGTAATAGAGGATCGTCGACAATCATCTTCATCATAAGATCACAAAATTCGATGCGTCTATCAAAATCGTCTTCGGACAACTCTTGGACCAAATGGAGTTTGTATGGATGCCATTTATTCAATTTCAGAATTTTACTGACAGATGCATGACCGATTTCGTGTTCTTGTGCAACGCGATTGATGGAAATGTGGGGACTTTCAACGAAAGACTGTAAAACATCTAATGCCTTATCATTATTTGTTGTTGTTTTACGTCTACCAGATCTTGGGCGGCTTTTAACGCTACCAATGTCTTCGAAACGTTGAATAGTACGGATTACAGTACTTTTGGAGATCCTATTATTTTCATTCCGAAAATTTTCATTAAATAATCGCATTACTGTTTTATACCTTCTTTGTTGATCTCCCCATCCTCGCATCATTAACAGTGTTATTCGATCTCTTTCAGAAAGCTCCGCCATTCTTAATTAGAACAAAGAAGAATTAATCAGGTAAGTGATAGGAAATTGATCTAAATAATTAAGTAGAGAAAAATATTAATTATTAAGTGTTGGTCCAACTATCGATTTGTTTATTTCAACCAGCACTAGCAAAAAGCTCGTTGAGCAACTGAAAATCTAATAGATCAATTAATAATATTTACGAAAAAATTCTGGGCTATTGGAAACAAAATGAAGATGTTTGGGACAATCAATTGAAGCGCAATGGCTTCTTTTGTTACAGAAACAATTTTTGGGGCTGTTCGTTTTCGTCCACGAGGTGACTGCTGCTTGCTAAGAAGAAGCACTGCATCAAAGATTCAAATCAGTGATCCGCATTGTTTGCTCAAGAGCTTGTATTACTATTGGTGCCTGCGAGAGTGAGACAATAAAGATCGGCCCCACCAACGCTTTCGGGCAGATTCCCGCTAACGCTTTTGGATATCACCCATTCGAGCAGCTTCTCGCGATCACCTTCGGGCAGTTTTCCGCCATAGCCTACTAGCATAATCGCTTGAAGCCGTACAACTTTTGCTATTGGACATTTTTCCAAAATGCATTCTTACTGAAAATATTAGGGGGAGCTGATACTTTTCGATTAATGTATTTTCTTTAAACCAATTAATTGGTCTCATTACTTCGCGCACAAAAGTATTAAGGTTATGATTACTGAAAACTAAATAATATTTTACAAGATATTTTACATTTTGTGTAAAAAAATTGTTAACTTCAAACCTTTATAACTCAAAAAGTACTTAATGAAAAAATGTTTTATTATAGTGTTTTGGAAAGCTCTTGAGATAAGCTATAAGAATATGCAATAAAATGTTGGAGGTTCTATTTAAAAAAATAAGGTTGACCTTGAAATGACCTTGAAGGACATGATCAAGGTCAAAGTCAAGGTCATCATCTTACTCCCCGCTTGAAACCATATAACTTTGCTATTGGACATTTTCTCCAAAATGCATTCTAACTGAAGATATTAGGAGGGTCCGATACTTTTCGATGACCCTGTATATATATATATATATATATATATATACATATATATATATATACAGGGTGTTTGATAGCTGATCATGCAGACGAAAGTTGGAGATAGATTGGGTGTAGCCGAGAAGAAAAATCATGTACTATAATGTCAAATTGGCAATAGTTATCG